AAGATCTTTGGTTTTCAACAAATAACCAAATATCCTCGTGATTGCCTTCCAATGTTCATTACTTGGATTACTAGTAAATCTACTCATTTTACTAACTGCAAATGATATATCGGGTCTAGTACATTGCATTAAGTACATAAGACATCCGATCGCACTTGCATATTCTAATTGAGCCACTGCTCTTCCATCATTCTTTTCAAGTTTGATTACATGATCAAATGGAGTAGTTACTTCCTTGAATTTCAGGTGTTTGAACTTATCAAGCATTTTCTCAATATAATGTGTTTGATTAAGTTCATAACCCCCACTATTTTGCTTAACTTTTATTCCTAAAATTGTGTCAACAAGCCCAAGATCTTTCATCTTGAAAGTGGAAGTTAGAAACCTTTTTGTTTCTAGAATTCCATTAAGTCTATTGCTAATTATTAGCATGTCATCAACATAAAGACACAAAAATATTACAGTGTTATTATACACTTTTGTATATAAACACTTGTCACAAGAATTAGGAATAAATCCATTTGACATTATCGTAGAGTCAAACTTTTGATGCCATTGTTTTGGTGCTTGTTTTAAGCCATATAGAGATTTGACAAGTTTGCACACCTTCTGTTCATTTCCAGGAAGGACGTGTCCTTCTGGTTGTTCCATGTAGATTTCCTCATCGAGGTCTCCGTTTAGGAATGCTGTTTTAACATCCATTTGATGAACAATCAGATCATTTAAAGATGCTAAAGCAAACAACAACCTTATAGTGGTTGTTCTCGCTACAGGTGCATAAGTGTCAAAATAATCTATACCTTCCTTTTGTCTAAATCCTTTTGCCACTAATCTTGCTTTATAAGTGTTTAATGTACCATCACTATGATATTTCTTTTTAAACACCCACTTGCATCCAATGGGTCTTGATCCCTTTGGTAAATCAACAAGTTCCCAAGTGTGGTTGGACATAATTGAATCCATTTCATCTCGGATAGCATCTTTCCAAAAAGAGGAGTCTCTTGAAGCTATTGCTTCCTTATAAGTTTTAGGATCTTCCCCTACTTGAAGAATTACCGGAATGCTTTTAATAAAATTTGTACTATTTCCTTCAACCAGATAAAATGAAATGGATTGAGAATCAATTTCGTCTGGTCCTAGGTTCTTTATTTTCCGGACTCTTTTGCTTATCCTAGGTTCGGGTCGTGGTTCATTTATTCGAGATGTGTCTTCAGGTTGTATTTCTACAATCCGAGAAGAGTCCTTTTCACAAGATTCTTTGTTTATGGCCGACTCTGATTCTTTATCCTTAGTTATAAGGTTTTCAAAGAATTCTACATCCCGGGATTCAACAATAATATTATACTCTAAATTTAACAGTCTATATGCTTTGCTATTTTGTGCATATCCTACAAATGCACATCTTATCCCTCGAGGACCCAACTTGGTTCTCTTAGGATCCATGTTTTTGTAATATGCCACACACCCCCACACCTTAAAGTAGCCAATATTTGGTGTCATGCCCTTCCATACCTCATATGGAGAAATTCCACTTTTCTTTAAGGGAATTCTATTTATTATGTGACAAGCGGATAATAAAGCTTCGCCCCACAAATTGAAAGGTAGTTCGGAATGCAATAACATGGCATTCATCATTTCTTGATATGTTCGATTCTTTCTTTCTGCTATGCCATTTTGTTGTGGTGTTCTAGGTGCCGAACATTCATGTATTATACCATGTTCTTCACAAAATGCATCAAATTCAGTGGAGAAGTATTCACCGCCCCTATCACTCCTAAGGACTTTTATACTTCTACTTAATTGATTTTCCACTTCTGCTTTGTAACTCTTAAAGGCATTAAAAGCCTCATCTTTATGCTTTAAGATATATACATAAGTGTATCTAGAACAATCATCAATAAATGTAATGAAATATCTATTTCCCCCACGGGTCAACATGCCATTAAATTCGCACAAATCTGAATGTACAAGATCAAGCAGATTTGTATTTCTTTCAACACTTTTGAAAGGTTTCTTAATCATTTTTGATTTAACACATAATTCACATTTATTGAAATCTTTGATATTACATGATATCAAGCCAAGTTTAATTAGTCTCTTCATTGAACTAATACCAATATGTGCTAATCTATTGTGCCATAAGGTAACTGAATCAAGCATGTAAGCAGAATTAGAAATTTCATTAATCATGTTATCAGTAATACATAGTTTGATCATTCCTTCAGCGGAATATCCTTTTCCAACAAACACACCATTACGGGTCAAGATAAGTTTGCCCGATTCATACACAGATTTAATACCCGGTTTTCCCAATAAATCCCCACTAACAAGATTCCTATTCATGTCTGGGACATGAAGCACATTAACAAGAGTAACTTTCTTTCCAGAAGTGAAGTTGAGTTCGACCGTTCCGGTTCCAACAACTTTGGATCGCACTTCATTTCCCATTTGTACTTCTTGTCCATCATTTGCCTCAGAATATGTTTTGAATGCAGCCCTGTCATATGAGACATGAACCGTGGCACATGTATCATACCACCAGCCTTGGACCTTGCCTTTGATTGCCATAATTTCGCTCACAGTAGCAATTATATCATCATTAGCATTCACTGCATTGATCTCCTTTTTTGATTTATTATGCCTGCAATCTCGAGCATAATGTCCAGGTTTTCCACATACAAAGCATCCATTCTTCGGACCCTTCGGACCACCGAAGTTCTTGAACTTGGTATGTTCCTTTTTTGGTGCGATGTGACTTTTCTTGACATCATGTTTTTTCTTTTCCTTTCTGGTCACAGCATTGGCTTTGGAAAGACCCGCAGATTCTGATTTTTCCCTCTCCTTCGATTCCTCCTCGATTCGAAGATGCTTCTGGATTTTCTCCAAGGAAAAGTCATCAGAACTGTGCAACAGTTTCTTTTTATAGCCTTTCCACGAACTTGGTAACTTCGCAATGATTGCACCAACTTGAAAGGTTTCAGGAATGTCTATTTTCACCGCTTTGATTTTGTTCACCAGGACTTGCAATTCATGCACTTGAGGAAGTATGGGCTTGGAATCTATAAATTTAAAATCAAAGTATTTAGAAATTAAGAACTTTTTCGTACCTTCTTCTTCGGCTTTGAATTTAAACTCCAGGGAATTCCATATGTCTCTAGCGGACGGATTGTCTGTGTATAAGTCGTATAGGCGGTCAGATAGTGTATTCAGAATATGCCCACGGCATAGTAATTCGTCCTCCCTTCGCAGCATGCGCTTCTTCTTGAGTTCGTCAGAATCATCTGCAGTTGGTTCTGGAATTGGTGTCAGATTGGGATCCAAGACGTAGTGAACCTTGAGTGCAGTAAGCAGGAACGTCATCTTGTCTTGCCATCTGGTAAAGTTGTTTCCATCGAAACGATCCAATTTGACAAGGTCCTGATTCATAACTTTGATACTTGAAACAGCAGCGTCGGAATCCATGATACAAATACTTTTAAGATTGTTAGATAATTCTTCTATGTCGAATGGATCCAGACTGAATCGTGAACGAAATCACTTTCCTTAAAAGTATTTCAAGCACACTCTCAGATTGTCTTAGAGTTGGAACGACCTGAATACCCAGGATAAGTCAGCCTTTTTCTCGAAACTGCACAAGACTGATGAAGTTTCGAATGCAAGGAAAATGTTGGAATTATATGGAAGAGGATTTCAGAATTTGGAGTGAATGAACTCGAATTATGAAGCATATATTTATAGCCATGCATGTGTCTTTTCAGAAGTTTGCAATTCTTCATAAACACACTCTTTAATGAGCATTTGCAATGGTTCACATAAAATATCATGCACCACTTCGTCAAGTGTCATGTATTTCAAATTCAAATTCAAAATCAAACTCTAGGCAACAAATAAGTCTGAGCGATAATTAAAAATTAAATTCGCAGTATACCGGCCGAAGGCGGCCGAAGCGCCACCTACAAGCCGCCACTAGCGCCTCTACGCCCCCGGATCCGGTGCCGGACCGGCGAGGGGTGTTTTGTATGAGACAAGTGACATAAGTTTTGGCACCACCACATGTGACTATGTGGCACTTTATCCTTTTTGGCTCTTTTGGAAATTACATTGTTCCAAGTGCCTTATAAATGCTATTTAATTTTACTCCTCTTCCAATGTGGGACTAAGCATTTATTATAACACCCACTTTGTCATTTTGGAACAACTTTAATGGAAATAAATTATTATTTCCAACAGTTCATAGAAGCAAGAAGCTAGAGAGGTAAGTGTACGCAACAAGACCATGATAACTAACATGTACTAAGGATTGTACAACTAAGGGTGGGGGTAACATCCATTAGCGGTGGCAGTATTGTAGCTCGATTGATTTCGCAGTTTTACTAGGGAAAATAAAAGAATGCTTAATACATATGCGCTCGTGCTTAATCATAATCAGGACCCAACTTTTACAGCTCCTTTTAGCTTAAGACAATTGTTCATTACGTAACATTATAACCATTGTTATTAGGTTGATTAAGAGTGTGTTTTAGATATGTCTTAATGAAGTTATTGCGTGGAAAATAAATTTAATAATTCTTGAGTTACTGTAAATTTTTTTTATATATTTTTAGATAATTCTAAAAAATGTTTAAAATAACCTCAAGTTATTTTAAACAAATTTAATTTAACGTCCTTTTGCCTAATTAAAATGCCGAAAAAAGTGTGTCAGAAAGAAACACTGAATCAAAGGAGAACGTTATTGCAGGTCTTGTCTACTTTTTATTATTGTAAAGTCTCAGAATTCACATGCCATACCTATAAAGAACACCTAATAATACAGCCAAAACAAATACATCTTCTAATAATTAAGCTCTTTACAACCCAACGGCTATATTTCCATTATTCAATTTCAATAATAATCATTTCACATACAACGGTCCATCTATCCTCATAAAACCATAAAATCTTATTAACATTTTTCCAACATTTTCGTTTTCATTTATTAATATTTTGCTTACTCTGTTCCAATGAAAACCATCACCACTGTTACATCTATCTCTCCCACTGCTACCGTTACCACCGCCACCGATGCTAAGGTTCAACGAGTGACTAAGAAATCTTCCGATGAACTGCTAAGAAAATTTGCTGAAGTGGGCACCAACCAGAAGAAAGAGCTGCGTATTATCAAACGCAGGAAGAAGATGAAGGAGAATCAATGCGAGAACCAGAGTCCTTCGAAAACCGGCACCGCTGTTGTCGAAAGGAGGTCGCTGTTGCCGCCAACAGTGAGCCGGAGGTCGGTGTTGCTCCGGCAGCTTAGGGTTAGAGATAACAGAAACAAGTCATCTATCTTGGGAACCATTCAAAAAGTGAGACCCTAACAGACACTTTTTCATGTTATTAATTTTTGTTTCACTCAAACATTCTTAATTTGTGTTTTATTTTTTCTTTTCAGACATGGCGTAGAACTGTTGAAGGTGCTTCTAGAGTTTTCATGGAAAAGCATTATCATCGTCATAAGCGTCTGATCAATGATATTGTTTGAGCAATTACAAGCTAAGCTAATTTCTAATCAGATGAAAGCAAGGCTCAGCTTATGTATATTTCACTATTGGTTCTATTCAATTGTTATGTTTTTTTTTTCCTTTCTTTCCACTAATTGTATTCTTTTTGACTTCAAGTATCAATTAAAATTGCATTTTCTTAACTCTGATTGCTTACAAATTAATACAAATCGGAAACAGGAAAAGTGTATGTTAACGGTAGTGTAAGTGCTCTTGATTGACTACATTTTATGACATAATATTAGTGTACGTATGAATGTTTTGTCTGATGTTTCTACATTCATAATGTGGGCTGTGCAGAGTAAGTTAACTCAGATAACTATAAGTTAAGCTGGATGTCATACTGAATGTTAGGACATGGGTCGTATGACATCAAGCACAGGTTTAAGTTTTCTGTTATTTAGGTTGAGGAATCTCAGGCTAGAATGCAGGAAACTTTGGAGGAGCTAAAGCTGGAGATCAGGAAACATTTTAGAAAGAAGCTCTAAGAACTAAAATGCACCTGAATGAAGTGGCAAGCGTGCAGTATATTAAAGATAGGTTTTTCTATGGATAAAACCTAAGCTATGCACCAAGGCCCAAAGGACTAGACAGCTGCTATAAATATCAGAAGGAGCAATTCTGAACAACAGCTCTTGACAGAAGAATAGAGAGTGAATAGTAGAGAGTCCTAGTAAGTGAAGAAGGCTAGTCTTCACGTGTGAATTCTGCTTAGGAATACTTGTAATCCAAGCAATTGTCTGGTTGATCATTGTATTGGTTAGGTAGATTCTAGGCTGTGTCTCACTCAAAGCTGTGAAGTAAGAGTGTGTGAGTTCCTTGATCAAAGCTGTGAAGCAAGATCAAAGTGTGTATGAAGTGTCTCTTCATATGACTTTCTGCAATTGTTTGATATCACTGTTGTGTGATTGAGGGGGAGTGAGTGGGTATACTCAGGTCTAGAGTGTCTCTAAGTTGAAGTGTCATTGGGTAGGGATTAAGTGAGGAGTGTAAACTGGAGGTTTAACTCTGAATTGATTCTACTAATAGTGAATTTCCTTCCTGACTTGGTAGCTCCCAGATGCAAGTGTTGTTGACACTGAACTGGGTGAACAATTGCTGTGTTATTTACTGCTTTCATTTACAGTCTAATTAGTTAGTGCAGTAGTCAATGCCACAGTGGATGTTATAACTTAGGCAATAACATCCATCGTGTGCTTGCCAGAATTTTCAATCGGTATCAGAGCAGGCACCCTGCCTGTTTATTCTGGGCGAGATCTAGGGAAAACAAATTCTGGTGATATGGATAAAGATATAGGATTCACTAATAGACCTTCAATTCTAGATGAATCTAGTTATGACTATTGGAAACCAAGGATAATTGCATTCTTGAAATCTATAGACTATAAGGCTTGGAGAACTATGAATTCAGGATGGGAACATCCTGTGAAAACTGACAAGGACGGAGTATCAGTGTTGATTCCTGAAGAGGAATGAAATAAAGAACAGGAAGCCCTGGCCCTTGGCAACTCTAAAGCCTTAAATGCTCTATTCAATGGCATAGATAAAAACATCTTTAGGTTGGTACACCATTGTGAACTGGCAAAGGATGTTTAAGACACTCTCAGAACCACTCATGAGGGAACTTCCAAGGTCAAAATGTCTAGACTTCAAATGCTGACCACAAAATTTGAAAGTCTAAGAATGAAGGAAGATGAGACCATTCATGAGTTTTACATGAATGTTCTTGAACTAGCTAACACCTCAGGAGCTCTGGGAGAAAAGATGACTGAAGAGAAGCTTGTAAGAAAGATTCTAAGGTCATTGCCTAAAAGGTTTGCCACGAAAGTAACAACCATTGAAGAAGCTCAAGACATATGCCACATGAAGGTGGATGAACTCATTGGTTCTCTCCAAACCTTTGAGATGGGAATGTGTGATCAGGCTGTGGAGAAAAAGAGCAAAAGTATAGCTCTTGTCTCAAACACTGCTGATGATTCAGATGATGAGAAAGAGGAGAATCTGTCAGAAGCAATAGTTATGCTTGGAAGACAGTTCAACAAAGTGGTCAAAAGGATAGATGCTAAGTCTAAACCTTATTCCAAAAGCATGACTGCTGACAAAGAGAAATCTGAAGATAAAGTCATCCAAATCAGAGGTGCTCAGTGTCATGAATGTGAAGGATATGGTCACATCAGAAAGGAATGTCCCACTTACCTCAAAAAGAAGGAAAAAAGCCTAACTGTCACTTGGTCTGATGAAGATTTAGAAAGTAGATCAGAAGGAGAATCTTCCATACATGTCACTGTCCTTAACAGTGTGTGCATCTCTGATGATGACTCAAGTGAAGAAGAGTTGACCTATCTTGAGCTTGCAACCTCATATCAAAAGCTTCACATCAGAAGTACAGAGATGTATCAGTAAGGAGGACTTCTGAAGAAAATCACCAAGGAGTTAGAAGCTAAAAAGAGAGAGCACATGGCCACAATAGATACACTCAGAGGAGAGGTTAATGAGTTGAAAGGTCAAAAGGATCAAATGGCCAAATCCATAAGGATGCTAAACTCTGGGATTGACACCCTAGAGGAAATCCTTCAGAGTGGTCAGACTGCGGGAAATAGGTCTGGTCTAGGATTTGTTGAGAAAACAAATTCTGTCTTGAAACTCAAGAGGTTGCAGCCTGAGATCCAAAAGTCAAAAAGAATGTCACAACCAAAGTCACAACATCCTCCATACAGAAATTGGAATCAAGTCAAGAGACAATTCCAAGGGCATAGATGCTACCACTGTGGAAAACTTGGGCATATTAAAGCTGTGTGCTTCTGGCTGCATGGATTCCCTAGCCAAAGAAAAGTCAAACATGGTACGCATAAAAAGGCAGCATCATGTTACACATGGAAAAAGGCAACATCATGCCAAGCCTGGAAATAGACAACATCAGGCTAAACTCAAGAGGGAACTGCCTAACAAGCAAAGTCAATGGGGTGCCAAGACTGTTGCACTAGCAGCTCATACTTCCTCAAGAATGCCCACCAAAGAGGATTGGTACTTTGACAGTGGCTGCTCCAGACATATGACTGGAATTGAGGATCTCTTGATCAAACTCAAACCTCATTCATCTAGTCATGTAACCTTTGGTGATGGAGCTAGAGGAGAAATCACAGGTGCTGGACAACTTGGCAGTCCTAAAGCTCCAGAATTGAAGGATGTCCTGCTAGTTAAAGGACTGACTGTCAACCTAATAAGCATAAGTCAGCTATGTGATCAAGGGTTAAAAGTCCACTTTTCAAAAGATGAGTGTGTGGTGATCAATGAAGAAGGTGAAGAAAAAATGAGAGGATCCAAATCCAAGAATAATTGTTACCTATGGGAGCCCAAAAGTAACATAAATGGATTGATGAATGAAGAAAAGAAGAACCAACTATGGCTAGAAAAAGGAAGACAACCTCTAAAAATAGAAAGGACCAAGTCAAATTCATCAGCAAGAGGATCTTCAAAGTATGCTTCATAAAGGAGGACAGGAGGTAAGAGAAGTCATGAGGGGAGGCTAGACAAGAAGGGATACCCAAATATTGGTCATCAGGTAAAGCTAGATAGGTTATATTGGAACCTGATGGAGTCCATGAAGGCTACTCTGCAGAGAAGAAGCAATGTTACTCCGGATGTCATGACCTTGTTCTGTGACATCAAGGGCAACATTCAAACAAGCTCTGCTGAGCTCAAAGGAGACAGGCTCAGGTGTAACTGGTGTAAATGGGAAAAAGCTTGTGTAACACCTGGTGGCTATGCCCTAAATATTGCTGACAAGGATTCAAGAAGCATCAAGGAGCCTCAATTTAAAAAATTGAGTTCCTCTAGTACTGATGAGGTATAACAATTAAAGGGAATGGGGAATTACATTTTGAAATTAACTCATTTAATGATAAATCAAAATCGTAAATTCCCTCCTAGTGGGCAATCGTTTCTCACTCCCACGTACACAAAACACTTCCTCTACTCTTGGTATCTTCGCAAACTCTCCAACTTCCATACCATCTCAAACAAGCAAAAAAAAGGTTTCTCGTCTAAGTCAAAGTCACCACCTATGGCGCAACCAACCTCCAGAATTAATACAAGCGACACTGAGGCAAAACCTAATTAGAGATTGCTCCACTACGTATGATGACACCTGAAGGATTGTTGGTAAAGAAACCTAGAAAGCTGCATGCAAGACGACCTAAAAACTTTGGCTCAGGTCAAGCTCCTCCTACGACTACATCTGATGACCTAAATACAGAGGAAGCTAGACGGAATCACCTTAAAATTGTAGGGATGGTTGCTGATGTCCTCAACATTCCCACATCATCTTCCATGAAAGAGACTGAGTCTAATCAAGATGATCAAGTTGATGTCTCACACAATGTCAAAGCATTGAAAGACAACACACCAGAAGGGAATAACCAGGATGAAAGGTCTGATAAAAAGGATGATGACATGCAAGGAACCAAAGCTGATAAGGTGGTAGACCTAGAAGAGTATTCTGACAATGACCTCTTAGCAACGATCAACCCAGGCATTGCCAAAAGATTGATGAAAAGGAAAGGGAAAAAGGTAGCTGACCAAATGTCATCTAAGAAAAAGAATGTTGAGAAAACTACTGAGCATGACACTCCTACAAAGAGGGTGGGAACAAAAAGAACAAAATTTGGACCCCCCAAAAGTTGGAGTAAGGTAACCACAAGAAAGAGGAAGGCTGAAATCAGTTCTGAATCAAACTCTGATTCTGATGTTGCTGACATCCAAACTAAGAAGAAACCTTCAACTAGCAAACTGGCTGCTTGATCGCGACTTTCTATGTCTAATACAACTTAACTGCAAGTGCACAGTCTATCGCGTAGTAATAAAAGATATCGATCCCATAGGGACTCATAATCAAACTAGTGTTTACGGGAGTTACTATGTTTAGCTAGGTAGATAATGTTTAAGGGAATAATTGCTATTACTAAAGGGAACTAAAAATGTT